ATACCGCAGTAAAAGACATATTGTCCTTACCCCCTCAAAATACTCCTCCTCGGTTCACTTAACACACTTAGCCCGTCACTCTTGCCACTCTCTGACGCAGTTCCGGAGGTCCTCTCTGTAAGTGTCTCTACTTGTGCTGTCCTGGCTGCCTTGATGTCCTGAATCACTTCAATACTTTTAAAGTTCTGTCAAATGAAAACATTATAGCATGTCCATTCACCTCACTTATTGGATCTGGCACCCTGTGACTTCTGGCCCTTCTGTCAAGACAAAAGAACCATGAAAAGTGAGTGTTTTGAACGGATTCAGGACATTGAGGCAGCCACAAAGAGGACTTCCAGAACTGTTGCAGAAAGTGGCAAGAATGGGGTAAGTGTGTTTTTAGTGAGGGTGACTATTTTGAGGGGGATTCATGGCAATGTGTCCCTTATTGTAATTCTTTTTTTAAAATTTAACATTCACTGTATTTTTAGATCACATCTCATATTTATAAATTTACTATTTCCCTGTATATACATTTTTTCATATTAGATATCTGAATTTTTGTAATGCCTTCTTGTACCCCAAGGAAACTTCTATGAATTCATATTTTGCCAATCAAAAGTATGAGGTCGTGGCCTATCAGACATCAGTTCAAACGTCTTCAAATGTAGAAGCTGCTGGTGTTGCTTAGCCTATCAAAAATAAAGCAGTGGACTTCCAGTTCACAGGATCTGCCTGCAGCTTGTGCACTCGGGAGTTTCTCTGCAGATGGGCACTGACAAGAGAAAACAATGCCCCAGAAGAGCTCAACAGACCTAAAAGTATTCTCAGAGTAGAGAGTGGTGTTTTAGTGAGGGATATTCGAGGTAGCCGCTGGAAGCTTCCTAGCACTGCCATGAGAGAATGCAGCCTGTGGTGAAAGATGGAAAAAACGACATAAAAATGGAGATGGACACATAGAAAATTAGAAAACTCCTCCAGACCACCATGGACAGAACCCAGGACAGGCTGTCCTAGCCCGGGGCAGAGACTGGGCTGAGGGCAAGTGAAAGGGAAGGGGAAGCTGGTAGAACGGATGCCCAGCATCCTCCAGGCTCTGGTTCCATCCCCAGCCCTGAGGAAAATGGTACAGGGAAGGGGGAAAGCAAACAAAAGCAAGCAAAGGACCTTGATGTCGTAGATCCTTCAAAAGGAAAAATGTCACATGGGACAGATGTTTGATTGGCCTGTGTATATTGGCTTCAGCTCCCACTCAATGGAAAAAAACACAAAAACTTGTTTTCATATTTTAACTTGGCATTTTTTTCTTTAATTCAAAATCCCTCTTCCACTTTTGGAAAATGAATAAAATGTTTTCTTTGATGAATGGAAGTGATACTAAATGATGCCCAGTGGCCAGGTATTAATCAGACACTAAAATCCTCTCAAGAATGAATGTCCTTGTACTGTTTGTGCTTACAACTTTGTGAATATAGCCAGTAGAGATAAATGATATACTGGGAAAATTGAGTGAACTCAGGTGTTTTAAAAGCTGTCATTTAATCATAGTATTGAAAAATGTAGTACCAGTGGATCTTATAAATACACAATACTTTTTGGAATTTTGATTATGTATAATTCTGGATAAAAGATACTTTGTATGTAAAAAATAAAATAGTCAAATGAAACTAGAAGGAGTGTAGAGTTAGTGTATATTTTTAGATTTTGGAGGGAGGGGAGTGTGTTTTAAGCAATTTGACCCAAATTTGCTTTTATAAATGATGTGGTCCTTGTTTTTTATTTTATTTGAAAATGTCAAAGTGATGAAGGAAGTAATATGAAACAACCTGGTTTTCAAAAATCCTTGAGTTTTACTTTTAATGAATGTAAGCACTATATGTCACTAAGAAAAGCTAAAATTAATAATATTAACAAGAATAAAAGTAGGGAGGGTGGAATTAGAGGAAGGGAGGGAGGAATGAAGAAAAGGGATTAAAAAATAAAGCTGTATTATGTACATGTATCCATTCCTGAGATGATTGTAAACTGCATGTACTGCAAACATGTACTCATTTTTAAAAATGGGGGAAAATCCTCAAATTTTAAATCAGCCCTGTATAGCCTAATAAAGCCACGATTTTGTTCATTGGAGTGAGTCATTAAGATCACCCCCTTTCTAGCACCCACTTATGCGGACAAGAAAAGCCACCTGACGTTTACCGTCCACTTTGTGCAGAGACAGACACAGGCTATGAAGTAAGACGGAAGCATGAAGTTCCGTTCCCACGGTGTGCTTGTGATCATGATATGTTCTTTCTTAAGAGTACGAGAAAAAAGAAGCAACTGTATGCAAAGTTGTATAGGGTCATGAAGGGATCCTTATTTATGACAGAATTTATGATACAACACATTCCAAGCACAGGGGGTAAAATGAGATTTGCTAAAATCAAAATTGTATTGCATGCATATTTTAAGTCACTATTAGAAAAGCTGGCCAGGCATGGTGGCACACACTTGTAATCTCAGCACTTGGGAGGCTGAGGCAGGAGGATCACCACAAGTATGAGGCCAGCCTGGGCTACATTGTGAGTAAGACCCTGTCTCAAAAATTTAAAAAAAAAGGGCCAGGGATTTAGCTCAGTGGTTCGGCCGCCTGCCTCACAAGCACAAGGACCCAAGTTCGATCCCCGGTACCAAAAAAAAAAAGAAAAAGAAAATTAAAAAAAAACAAAGAGAAAAAATAAAAGGTTGTTAGAACATTTGATCATCCTCAAACTCTGTAATCTGGAAATTTTCAATTTATAGAAAAATTGAAGGAATAGTTCAATGATAATCTGAAAATGCATGCTTTCTTAGTCCACGAATGGAAATGGAAAAGTAATTAGGAATTCTTCCTATTGACCTTTCCCCTTTTTTTCAGCAAACTATATTCTAAAATGTTTTAAAAATATTTTTTACTCAGCAGTAAAGAGGAATGAAATTATCTTTTGTAGGAAAAATGGATAGAATTAGAAACTGTCATGGTAAGTGAAATTAGCCAGGCTCAGGAAGTTAAATATTACGTGTTTTCTCTTATTTGAGAAATCAGATGAGTGATTAAAAATAAAGGATAGCAGGAAAGAGAAGGTAGACTTTTGCAGACAGGGAAGGGCATCACTGAGAGGGGAGCAGAGGGAAAGGGGCTGGGCGGGATGGAAAAGGATCAAGAATATTAAATGCATGTACAAATCTCCCCAAACTCCACCATTCTGTAATATTATCAGGCACTAATAAAAAATTAAAAATGAAATGAAATATTTTAAAGTTTTGCTTATATTGACCATATGCTCCTTTTTATTTTTTATAAAGGGACTTTATTATTCTTATTTTAAGACCCTTATTGAAGCACCTTCGTTTTTGGAAGGCCTGTGGATGATTACGAATGACAGGCTTACTGAGTATCCCCTTGTAATTAATACAGTGAAACGATTCCATCTTTATCCAGAGGTGAGTGCTACTTGAGTCAAATAGTACTTGTAATGTGATTCTTTCTTAATCAGATAAAGGCACTAAGTATAATGATGCTAATAAAAGGGAGGGGACCTATTAGGTTGATTGTATTAGTTATACTTCCTTGTATAGTTGAATAGAGTATCAAAAGTTCCTTTCTTAATATACAAAGGTCCCAGTAAGGATGTTCATGTGAACTTAAAGAATAAAGGGTAGTATGGGAGATGTGGCCAGGTAATAAACGAGCCAAATGAGAAAGTGAGTCATGAGCGCTAGAGAGGGCTCTGCATGGGTCAGTGGGGCTTGGATAGCATGTGGGTGGGCACGGTGACTGCATGAAGGGCCAGGGAAGTGATGAGCAGGACTCTGCCTACAGCAACAGTTCATTAGTGAAGGAAGGTTTAAGGGCTGGAGGTGTAGCTCAGGGGTAGAGGTTTGATCTGATGCACTGGTGGACGATAAAAAAGATTTATTTAGTCACATAGCCAGAAATCTCTGGATATCTTCTAGTGCTTGGCCTTAAAGTTTAGTATGGTTTTTATGGAGATCTGCAAATTCTAGAGATCTGAAAACAGCAACAAAAATTAGTAAACTTGGTTTGTAACTGCTTAAGATAAATACTGGATTTGTCATGATAAACATTTAATTTCGAGTTTTGGGTTATTTCAGAGTATGGCAGATGGAAGTTACTTAATTTTTAGTCTTCATATTCAATAGGTTTAAAATTATTCAGAACTTAAAATACTTAAGATTATAGAAATTTAGAGAATAATAAATACTCCACTGTCTTAGATCAGCCACAATAGAATAGAATAAGAAAATGCTAATCTTTTGTCACTTTTGGTCCAGATTTTTAAAATAACTTAAATGTTTAAATAACACCAAAATCACCTTTGTTTTAGTTCCAGACCCATTTGCTCCTCTCCTCTTCTCACGAAATCCCTTAACATAAATGTGTGAGAATTCATCTGATCCATTTCAAGCATGGTTTTCTGTGTTTTGAGTCCCCGTAAATGCTTTCGGGCTGAATATGCCCCTCTACAACGTTGTCCTCAGTGTTACATGTATTTTTGAACTCTGTGTATGTATGAATATTTCTTTAATTTCAACTCTTTACTGAACTCCAAATTTTATTTCTACATTTCCCTATTAATAGATACCAATAATTTCTAATTTTTCTATTACCAACAGTTCTAAATGCAGGCTCCTGGAGGTGCTTCCTCCGGTGCATGGGCAGGATTTTCTCTAGGCCAAGTACCCAGAGGTGCAGATGGGATGCTGTAGTTTAAGGAGCTGTTTTTGTAGATTCTTTTGGATTTTCTTTTGTATATTATGATGTTGGCCATACAGAAAGGCAGTTTTACTCCTTAGTTTCCAATCCATATATTTGAAAACATTTTAAAACAGCTTTATTGGGGTATAATTGGCTTACCATAGCTGGTCGTGGATGAAGTATACAGTTTGATATGATTTGGCCCCAGCCCCGACCTGTGAAGCTGTACTGCAATCCAGACTTGGCTTGTTCTTCATGCCTGGAGTTCCCTTGCACTCCATGGAATCTCTTCTTCCTGCTCCCCTCTGCCACATCCCATCCCCGGGAAACCACCACTCTGCTTTCCGTCACTATCCTCCAGTTCGCATGTTGCAGAATTTTATACAGATAGAATCACAGAGTTGTTCTGTGTCAGGTCCTGATTTATACAGTTGCCTGAATGGTGGCACAGAGGGGTCAGTTGTTACTTATTTTCCCTGGGGAAGGGAGCACACTGTGCCACGCAGGGCCACCGGGGAAATAAATACCAGTTTGACTGGGCAGAAGCAAGCACAAGGGGAGGGCCTAGTTCAGAGCTCCTGTGGGACAGGCAGAGCAGGGCAGAGTGAGGAACCCATCAGCAAAATCAAAAGACAACTGAGAAATGGGAGGAAATGTTTGTAATACATGTCAGAGAAGAAGGGCTGATCCGTGTAATGTAAAAAGAACTATTTGTTCTTCTGGATTGGAGATGAGCAGAGCTGGAAAGAGTGACACCCTCATCTCTACCACAAGAAAACAACTGCATAAACTGTAAGTTATTGTGTTTTCCTGAGCCCATCAGAAAACTAAGGTCACAGAGCAAACAACCCAAAATTCCATGAAGGATGGGTACCTGGAGAGAGAAATTGGACCAGAGCATTGGATCAACTGGGACAGATGCTACCAAATGCTGTTTAAACCAGCTGGAAGATTCAACTAGACAATTTTAATGAACTGCTAAAGGCTCAGTGTGAGCTAGTGTGAGATGCAAAGGCCCGCAGGTCACAGGCTTTGTTGGGGAAGAAGGAAAGGTGTAGAGAATGTTTTCCCTGTGCCAGTGAGGGAGGGAACAGCAGCACCACCCACACCCCTTCAAACCTGTGTTCCCAGTCTCCCCTAATTAAAATCACCATGATCTGTGGGGGGAGAGTATCAAAGCTATAGTTTGAGGACATTGGTGAGTATTCAGTGCAGCTGGTAGAAGAGAATGTGCAGAAAAAGAATAAGTTGAAAAAGCAGCTGTGTTCCTGGACAAGGGGCAGGGCCACCAGTGAGTCACACCTGCAAGACCCCAGTTCACTGTACCTGCCTGAGACCACAACCTGTCACCTCACTCCAACTACTGTATAATGAGCTGTGAGTAAAAATGTCCATGGAATAGGGCTGGGCGAGGTTTTGCCTTTTGGTGCCACCGAGGTACACCCTGGTGTATATTGGGTGACTTACAAGAAACAGATTCTTTCTTTCTACAGAGCAATGAAAGAGAAAACCCAAACCCAGCTAAAGACATGGTACCGTGATAGTAATTGGAAATCCCTGGTGTTCATAGCAACAACAAACTCCAGCTCTGGGAATCATAGCAACAAGAGACTCAAACCCAGCCCATCTGCTGGACTAGTTGAACACAAACCCCCACAATAAAGGCTTAGCCCAAGGAAAGGAAAATTCTGGATGCTGAGAAGTCCAGGATCAAGGCCCTGGCAGGCTCATGGTCTGGTGAGACTGCTGTCCCCTGTCAAGATGACCCCTGGATGTGATCTTGCATCCCCTGGGTTCAAGGGGCACCGTCTTCCGGTGGCAGAAGGCAGAAGGGGAGCCCTGATGAAGCCTGTTTTGTAGAGGCCCTAATCCCGTTCACAAAGGAGAAGTCTTCAAGTCCCCTGTCTTAGTGCTGTCACACTGGCCACTAAGTGTAGCACCTGAGTTCTGCATGGAGCACATTCAGACCACTGCAAGGCCCACTGGTGTTAGTGGATGGCCAGGCTCTTGGACTCCAAGTCTGAGAAAATGAGGCAGAAAAGGGAGCCCGGGAACTTGTAACCATGCTGGTCTTTGGGTTCCATGTCTGCTTCCTCCTCTCCACTTTCCAAGAGTCGTCTTATGCTTGATTTATATATAAT